TGAATCAACCAAGGGTGTGTTAAGTACCTCCAATGTGTCAAGCAAATGAAACAATCCCTGCCCTCAAGGAACTTAAATTCTTTTTTGTTTTTGCTTTTAGGCAATTGGGTTTAAATGACTTGCCCAGGGTCACACAGCTAGTAAGTGTCAAGTGTTTGGTCTGAGGCCGGATTTGAACTCAGGTCCTCCTGACTTCAGGGCGGTGCTCTATCCACTGCGCCACCTAGCTGCCCCTAAGGAACTTAAATTCTATCTAGAGAGAATGTGTACATGTAAAAATACCTCTAATATGCAAAATAAATACAAGATAATTTGGGGGAAAGAAGACAGTTCAGGAGATTAGGAAAAACTTCATGGAGAATGCTAAGGTTGAGCTGAGCTTTGAAGAAAACTAGGGATTCTAAGAGATTGGGGTGAAAAGAGAAGACACAGGAGAGAGACAGGAGATGGATGGAGTGCTTTGTGTTTAGAAGAGAAGGAAGGGCAGCTTGGCCAGATTGTGTGAAGGGAAGTGCCTTCCTGACCTAACTCTCTAATTTAAGGCAGCTACCAACTTCCTTAGAACCAGAGGGATGAATGAAATGACCCCAGGAAGGCACTGTGAGTCTGGTGTTGCTGCTCTCCTGGTTACAACCACAAAGGAGTGTATTTGGTTGGGTGAACCTAGAGTCATCTGTGAGTTCCAGAGTCTGAACTTGAGGCTACTTCACAATCTTTGGGGTCCCTTCCCCCAGCTCTTCTCACCTCTCCTCCTTCTCCCCCAAAGATTCCTTCCCCCACTGACTTAATTCCTTAGTTGTGCTGCTGTCATGGTTACACCGATGAGGCTTATTAAGAAGAAAAAAAAGCAGTCAGTATGTACCTTGCGTCATTCCCAATTCTGCCCAGTGGGAAAGGTGGACGGTCAGAAGTCCTTAAGGCTGAGGCACATTTCAACGAATAAGAAGCTAGACTAGGCATCCTTAACTGGGAGCTTCTGGGAGAAGGGCCTAGAGAGACTTTTTAACATTTACCATAGAAGTCAGTGTTCTGAAGTCAGGTCCCAAATTCATGAGAACAAATTCAGAGAGATATAGCCACAAGGCAAAGCTTCCGCACAGTCTTCTTCTTCTTCTTTTGGCAGGGAGGAGAGGAGGGGGGCAGCAACTGGGGTCAAGTGACTTGCCCAGGGTCACACAGCTAATAAGTGTCTGAGACTGGATTTGAACTCAGGTCTTCCTGACTCCAGGGCCAGTGCTCCATCCACTGCACCACCTAGCTGCTCCCACATAGTCTTTTTTCATTATTTATTGAGTGCCTACCATGGATCCAGCACTGTGCTAGGTACTAGAGGGAGATGCAAAGAAGCATGGTAGTTCCTCAGTATCCTTGAAATCTAGTCGGGGAGATACATGCAAAACACCTGCAGCACAAGCTAATAGATAAGACCGGCCGTGTTAACTGGTGCTTCAATTCCATTCAGGTCAGCATCTGCCAAGTATCCACTGCTGTGCTAGGCACCAAGCAATAAAAACAAAATGAAGAAGCCCCTGCCCTAGAATCGGGGGACCGGGTGTCCAGAGAAGAAAGAGCACTTAGGGGCAGCTAGGTGGTGCAGTGGATAGAGCACTGGCCCTGGATTCAGGAGGACCTGAGTTCAAATCCGGCCTCAGACACATAACACTTACTAGCTATGTGACCCTGGGCAAGTCACTTAACCCCATTGCCTAGCAAAAAAAAAAAAAGAGCACTTAAAACAAGGTGATCAGTAACACTTAGATATAGTCTAGATCAGTAAGTTCCCTGAGGATAGGAATTGTCTGGCACTTAGCACAGTGTCTGACACGTAGTAGGTGCTTAATAAATGGTTATTGACTGACTATCCTATTTCTGTCTTTGTACTCCCAGCCCAGATCTTTTATTTTGGTGGGGGGAGGAGGGGAGGAGGAGTCCAGACTTGAGAGAATAATGAAACCCCAATGTGAAAACTACCTCCACCAAGACAGACAGGCAACTCTGTAACTGACATCTTTGAGAGCTCTCTAGGTTTCCCAGGATCACACAGCTAACACGTAACAGGGGCAGGTTTTTCCAACTCTGAGGTTAACCAGGGCTCTGTCCACCATGGTAGGCCACCTCTCGTGCCAGATACATAACAGATGCTTAATACATACGTGTTGCATTGAATAACTATTAAAGGTCATACAGACATGAGAATAATGTCTCCCATTCACTTGATACTTTGTAGTTTACAAAGTACTTTTTTTTTTTTTGGTGAGGCGATTGGGGTTAAGTGACTTGCCCACAGTCACACAGCTAGTGAGTGTTAGGTGTCTGAGGCTGGATTTGAACTCAGGTCCTCCTGACTCCAGTGTTAGTGCTCTGTCCACTTCACCACCTAGCTGCCCCATACAAAGTACTTTTCATAAGACAACCTTAGAAGGACACTTGAGAGTTTATCTACTATGATTTACCAGAGACTATATGAATTTAACTATAAAACATTCTTTGCATAAATAAAGATAGAGGGGCAGCTAGGTGGTGCAGTGGATAGAGCACTGACCCTGGAGTCAGGAGGACCTGAGTTCAAATCCAGCCTCAGACACATAACACTCACTAACTGGGTGACTCTAGGCAAATCACTTAACCCCAGTTGCCTCCAATCAATCAATCAATCAATCAATCAATAAAGATAGACCTAAATATTTAGAGAAACATTAGTTGCTCATGGATAGGTTGAGCCAATATTATTTTTAAAAATGACAATACTACCCAAATTAATTTATTTATTCAGTACTATATCAAACTCCCAAAGAATATTTGATAAAATTAGAAAAAATAGTGATGACATCCCTATGGAAGAACAAAAGGTCAAGAAACTAAAGGGCGATAATGAAAAGAAAATGGAAGAAAATGGGATCTATCAGTACCAGATCTTACACTGTACTATAAAGCAGTAATCGTTAAAATAATTTGGTACTGGTTTTAAAAAGAGAGAAGTCAATCAGTAGAACTCATTAGGTATACAATACACAGAAACAAATGGTAGCATAGTGTTTGACAAGCCAAAAGACCCAAGTTATTGAAAGGGGAAAGACTCACTATTTGACAACAGCCAGGGAGAAATTAGGTTTCACTTCACCACATACAAGATAAGCTCTAGATGGATACATGACCTAGACATAAAAGGTCAAATCAAAAACAAATGAAAAGAGAAAGGAAGAAATTACCTTTTGGATCAACGGATCTACAACTAAAAAAGAAATCAAGAGAAACTCACAAGATAAAATGGATAAACATCATTATTGTTATCATCACACTGTTTTAGGCAGAACAACATGAAATCAAATGCACAGAGGTGGGAAAGTACAGGATGAAGGGCCTTGAATACCACAAAAAGACATTTAGGTTTTACTCGGTTGACAAGGAAGTCACTAAAGATTTTAACGCAGGAGGACAAGACAGATCTATGTTTGTACAGAAGGATCCCTCTGTCCAAGATATGAACAATGCGAGAGAGAAATAAATGGGAGAAGAATGACTGGAGGGGAAGCAAGACCTCTTCCGAGTTTAAGCCCAGTGCACAACACAGGGAGATCCTTTCATACTGACACAAACAAATGGAGACGTGTACTGCCTGTATGTATGATCTTTCTTTAGTCAAACAAATGTGAGTGATCTTATATAGTCATCATCGTCATCAGCACCATTTATATAGCTGTTTAAAGTTTGTAAAACACTGTGCATGCTACTTCAGTTGGCCTCCTAACAATCCTGGGAGGTAGGTGTTATTATTATCCCCATTTGACAGATGAAGAAACTGAGGCTGAGAGAGATTAAGTGACTTGCCCAAGGTTACATAGCTAGTAAGTATCTAAGGTGGGAGTTGAAATTAGATCTTCCTCACTCCAGGTCAAACACTGTATCCACTCCAGTTCAAACACTGTATCCACTCCAAGAGCTTCCTTCCCTAAGCCCACATAAAGGTAGCATGTCAACATATTAACTCCAGTGTTTAAGTACAATATCTGAGTTGCCCACTACAGCATCCTCTTTGAGCCACCAGCCCAATCCTCTCCTCAGCTTCTGGCATGTTTATGAACTAGCCTTCCCAAAAGGCTAAAATATGCCCTCCGGTCACCAGAGGGTGCTCACCCTGAAGACAACTAGATCGCCTTCTACACTACCCAGATTTAAAAATGGTAGCAGTGGCCATGTCTTACATTTAGTCTAGAAAATGAAATGGAATATTACTCCAAATATTCAAATAGTCTGCTCTATGATGTGTACATAACTCCAGAATACCCATCTCATTTGTCTGGGATCTCTTCTCTCTGCTGATGACTCCCTCTACATCCACAGGACTCTGATATTTAACATACTGTGATTACATAGTTTATTGAGCACAGCCAGAAAAAGAAATGTCAAATATACCCACCTCTCACTATCTCCTAAGCCTTCTCCGGCTTGCCCTCCCAGATCTTCAGAGAGACAACTCCCAAATCACCCATAGCCGTAGGAAAGGAATAAGGAAAGGAGGGTGAGGAGGGAGTGACCTCTCATCTCAGGACCATAAACCATTTGAAAGAGAAAGCAGACAAGATGGTGTCGGAAAACAATGTCCCCTTCTCAGCTTATTATTAGTCCAACTGAATTCACAGTGGCTGACATCTTGGCACTTGGGATAATCTTTTGTCAAAGTTTCCATCTCTCCTCCAGGATCTCTGCCCAATATCATCATCTCTTTCATAGCTCAGGTCTCTGGCAGCCTTGCTGTCTGGCCAGTAAAGTCTTTGGCGACAGTAGTAGGGGGTAGAAATGGCAACCCCCACCCTGTGATGTAGCCAGTCCTGCAGTGCAGCATGCTCAGACCACTGTCCTAGGCCACATTCCTAGACCTCAGCTCTGAATGGAAGGAGCTCACCACCACACATGAAAATACTATCATGAGAGCAGCCTCAGTACTGTGTAAACTGGCCCTTAATGATCTCTGTCCCTCTCATTGTCTCTCTCAATTACAGAAAGCGCGCCTTGCCAGGATCCGTGTGGCCAAGACTGGTAGTTCCAATGCCTACCTGCACAGCAAGAGGAATGGTCTTCTCAATGAAGCCCTGGAACTGACAGTCAGTATCCTGGAGTTGGAGGGAGGGGATAGGGAAATGGGAAGGGAGAGAGAAAAGCTGTGGTTTTCTCCTTCCCTCTGAACCCTAGGTCCTTCTCATGCTCATAGCTTATCCCCACACCTTCCCTCAGGTAAGGAGTGATACTTCTGACCTTCCCCCAAACATCAGATCTACCAGAATTCACCTTATTAACCATCACCTCCAACACACACACACACTCTCTCAATCTCTCTCTCTCTCTCTCTCTCTCTCTCTCTCTCTCTCTCTCTCTCTCTCTCTCTCTCTCTCTCTCTCTCTCTCTCTCTCTCACGACTGTCCAGTTTAAGATGAATTTGAAGAACTCTGAGGCCTGCCTGTTAAGACTTAATTCCTCACTTCATAGCTTCCCATCAAGGGCATTAAGCGTAACGAGGCCTGTCTCCTCAAAGAGGAAGCTATTCCGATGCTTTTCTCCTCTAATCAAACCATCAAGTACTTATTAAGCCCCTACTGTGTGCCAGGCACTGAGCTAGATGAGGCTACAAAGGCAAAAACAAAGAAGCTCCAGCCTTCAAGGAGCTTACAATCTAATGGGGGAGATAAGATGCATACACAGGTACATTCAGAATATGAACCAAACATATACAGGTTCACCTTGGGCACAGGGGGGACAGGCATCAGGAAAAGCCCCATGAAGATGGTGGTACTTTAACTGAATCTTGGAGACCAGGATTTCAACACGTGGAGATGAGGAAGGAAAGCATTCCAGGCACGGGGGGGTAGTACCCAGTGAAGGAAGACGGAGTGTCACGTGGGAGGCACAGATGGCTCCCGTGGCCTAACCCAGGGATGCTCCGAGTGTGTGCAATGGAACTCTAGCATGATTCAGATTTCACTAGGTGTGCCAAGAACCTCCTCCCTCTACCCCAAGACCTGCTCATTCCCCAGCCCCCTTCTCCAGCTGCAGTCTGCCACCTGCTTTTCCCAGCTTACTCTCAGGAAGGTCACACAATCACAGCCCTCTCCTAGTCCTGAGGAAGTACAGAAAAAGGACAGCAAGGAGGTGGGAGATGAGAAAAAGCCTGAGAGGAATCCCAAGGCCCCAGCGATGGATTAGTGGCCTGACTGTCCAGTAACCCTTCTTTGCTCAATGGGCCACAATTCCCCAAAGCAAAGAATATTGTGAAGCGAGAGGGGGAAAAAAAGAAAGCATGAAAGCAACTGGCTGAAATCCTGGCCGATCTGAAGCTGTTTGGGGCCATGCCTAGGTAGCTTGTACCTTACTAGTTCCGGGCAACATGCATCCCTTCCTCGCTAATTTCTTGATCAGTAACTAGAGCATCCTCCTCACTCACCCCTATTCCCTGAGCAAAGCAGCAAGTGGTGTGGCTGCCACTGAAACCTGCATACACCCTAAAAGTCAATAAACAATTTCCTGTCACCCAGGGAAAAAGGGGAGCTGGGAAGAAGGAGCCACACTCTTCTCCCTGCCTTATCTTGTCTCTTCCCTTGTCTCAGGGTTCCCCAGAGGATGAGCACCTGACCAAGACCACATCACTTATTGAGAGCCAGCATCACCACCTGCTGCATTGCCTGGAGAAAACTACTGTAAGTCTCCCCTTCCCCCACCTTAGCCATCCCTCCCAGTGTTCAACTTCCCTCCTCCTAAAGGTATACCCTTAGTCTCAAGCCCAGCCCCAGTTTGTAGGTGCAGCCTGTCCCTCCACAGACCAAGATGGTGCCAGGGAATGGTGGGAAATTAACCATCCTCGGTTAACCAGCTAGGTGGTGCAATAGATAGAGCACCGGCGCTGGATTCAGGAGGACCTGAGTTCACATCCGGTCTCAGACACATAACACATAACTAGCTGCGTGACCCTGGCCAAGTCACTTAATCCCATTGCCTAGCCAAAAAAAAAAAAAAAGAAATTAACCATCCTCTCTCTCCCAGCATCACCCCATGATCTCCACCTCCCTACCCTGAACTCTATGTATCATCAATTGGTGGCAACTCTGCCATTACGTACCTAACAGAGCAAGAGAAAAAAGGATTATCTTGGGGTAATGAAAAGAGCTCCGGACCTGGGTTCAAATCCAGACTTGGCCTGAGAGGCTTTGGGCCTTTAATTCTTTGAACTTCAGTTTTTGAATCTGCAAAATATAGATAATAATGCTTGTCCTACCAAACTCAGAGAGTTTTCTGTGAGGATCAAGAGGGATGAGGCATAGAAAGCAGTGAAATAAATGCTCTATAAATGTGAGCTACTAAGCTATGATTATCTCCCAATTACAAGTGACTTGCCAGGGCCTGGGCTTTCAGATAAGGCTGGAACTTACTTCCTATTGCAGCTACACATTTGTAGCCAACAGGAGCTATGGGGCAGGCTATATGCTATCACAGTATGACTGATCTCCAACTCTAATGGGCTGACACATCACCCTCCAAGTAGATGCTACTGAGCCATCCCCTCCCCTATCTCCTCATTACCGACAGTGTGGCATTCTTGGACTAGACAGCAGCAGCCCCACAGCACTCTTCCTGCACCCAGGAAAGGCTTCAGTTGGTGCTCTTTGGCCAGGCCCCTCTGGTGCCCCACTTCCACCCATGTGGAAAGTGGTGGGAGATGAAAGGAGCTTTCCAACTGAAGATCATGACTACTGCCCCACCTACCCCCAAAGCCCTGGAGAGGTCCAAGCCCTGAAAGGCTAATGAAGCAATACCAAGGCCTGGGTTACGGGGCCATAGCTGGAATGAGATGCCTGGGCCACCTAAAAAGGCCACAAACAGGACGGCAGCATTCACACCAAACGTTCCACAGTTCTCTGGTACCTTCCCTTCCCCAGACTGATTGATCAGCATGTCAGAGAGGCTTTCTGAGTAAGACTATCTAAGACTCTCCCCTCTCAGGCCAGAGGGAAAGCGCTTTAAATACGCACTCTGCGGGTGGCATGTGAACCCCAGAGAGGTTTCCAAATCAGGAAGCCTGAAGCAAACCCTGAAGTTTCCAGGCCTCACCAAATACTTCTTCCCTTGCCCCAGAGGACTGCATTTGCATGTCTTATGAGGCCCCTGGAATTCTCCTCCAGGACTTGGAACAATGCTAAAAGCACAGGCTCAGACCTAACTGCCCTTTCAAACTTGCATGTGCCAGATGGAATGTGGACATTTTAGAGGGGAGGGAGGGAAGAGGGGGAATGGTTTGGGTTGAGGGGATGGAATGTTGGGATTAAGAAAACAGGAGTTGGAACTAAGGATAAGAGATTGGGATCTGAGGGGGTGGAATGTGGGGACTGAGGGGGTGGAATGCTGGGGATGAGGGGGTGGAATGCTGGGGATGAGGGGGTGGAATGCTGGGCCTGACAAGTGGAATGTTGGGGCCTGTGGAGATTGAGGGGTGGAATGCCAGGATTGAAAGTGGAATGGCAGAGGTGAGCTTGGGAATGCTGGAATGTACAATCAATGGTGTTTTTATCTTCTGTTGGCATGTTGTCCTGTAGGGGTTGTCCTATCTTGTGGATGATCCCCTGTTATCTGTACGAACTTCCACCATCAAGGTAGAGCTTTTTACAAATTCAATTCCTGTTTTTTCTCTCTGATTCCTGTGGCGTATGTGGACTGTTCTCTTTCTATCACTCGGTCCGGTTTCCTTGCATGTGCTGTTACTTCTCCCCCCGGGGCCTGTCCTGCCCTCCGCTGTCACTACCAGTACCAGCTCAGGCTTCCAATTTTCTGTGCAGATCTACTCAGCAACCTTTCTCTTCCAACCTTCTCCTTCTCCCTTGCTGGGGGTGGGGCGGGGGTGGTTGAACACGGCACTTGTCTTGGTATCCTGTGAGTGTCCGTGTGCCTTCTCTGTCTGTGCCACCTCCTTGGGTCTCCCGGGGATTCCTGGTTTTGGCTCTCAGGCTAGCCTTTGCTCCAATGTGACCTCTCCTCTTCACCCTGGCAGCCTTAGCCAGGCCACAGACACCCCCCACAGGGCATCCTTTAGCCTTATAAGATGTCCTTATCCATAGGTCCCCAGTTTGTCCACTTCTCTTTCTTGACTTCAGTCTGGAGGACCCCAGTCATCTCAAGTTCTCCCATCATGAGGGTGTTTGACTTTAAGGAGTCCCCATGCTCTCCTCACTAACAGCCCAACAACCTTCCCCCTTCCCCTCTCAAAACACCTATATTAGGAAAGCATATCCCTTGTAACATTTAACCCTATTGCCATCATGGGGAGAAGCACTCCAACTGCTTTAGTTTATAAGCAATACAGAAACTTTTTTGTCTCCCCCTTCAATAACAATAATGACAAACATTCATTAAGCACCTGCTATGTGAAAGCCATTGTGCTAGATGGAGCAAAGAAGTGTGAAGTCTCAACCGACCTACCTCTAGTGATGTCACCAAATCCCCTTCTGGTGACCAGGAACCATGCTGGTCCACTAACCCTCCCAGCCTACATCCCCACACTCAAGCTTCTAAGTCCTCCAGCACCCAAAAGTAAGCTCTGACCCACGATCATTCAGATAGTTATAACTGTATATCCCTAACACCCTTCTGAACCACTACTCCAGAAGGAAGACACAACACAATCCCACCATTGTGCCAACCCTTCGCCCCCATCCCACTATGATAGCCAGGGCTGCCAAGATGATTCTTTCTTTCCTCTCTCAACGCCTGTGGGATGTTACCTTTCGTGAATGTTCGTCTGTGCTCCAGTCTCCTGGGGGCCTACCCCTTCAGAGCCCAGGACAAGACCCTCCAGTTCATGTGTGAGGGGAATTCATCCCCTCCCTCCCACTTCTTCTTCCCACATGCTTCTCTGTCCTTCCCAACAGAACCATGAATTTATCGATGAGCAAATGTTTGAGCAGAACTGCATGGAGAGCTCGATGCAGAATTACCCGTCCACGAGAAGCCCTTCGCTGTCCAGCCACCCGGGCCTAACCACTTCCTGCTGCTCCCGTAGAAGCAAGAAGACCACCCACCTGCCCAATTCCAACCTGCCTGCCACCCGTCTGAGGAGCATGCAAGAGCTCAGTACCATTCACATCCAGGGCAGTGAACAGCCCTCACTCACAACCAGGTGAGTATGTCCCATTCCCCCGCCCTTTTCCTTATGGGGTCTAACCCAAGAGGATAACATGACACCAGGTTGCTGTCAGGACTGGAGTTAGAAATCAGGCAGCAAGATCCTTGCCCAGAGAGTAGACTTGTTTTCCCCTAGGGAAAACAACATTATTATTAGAGTCAGCTCTTATTTATTGAACAAATAGTATTTATATGGCACTTAAAAATTCATAAAGCACTTCACTAACAATCCTGGGAGATAGATGCTACACTCCCCATTTATTAGAGGAAGCAATAAGTATTGCCTCAGCTGGATCACACAGCTAGTGTCTGAGGCAGGATCTGAACTCAGATCTTCCCCTTATCTACCTTGCTATCTGCCAACTTAGTTTCCATGACCTAATCAGTATTCTCTCTGCCAATGCAGACCACAATCCTATGTCCTAATAGGCAGCCATTATGAGCTGCTGCCGGCCAAAAAGCCAGCACCTGACTGAGAACCCCCGATGATGACCTTTTCTGAACCTAGCTTCAGATGACAACCATCCAGTCTGGAGCTTGACCTGATAAACCCTTCCAGCCTGGTAGTACCTGTGAGAGTTGGTACTGCCCGGGACTAACCTTCAGGAACCCAAAAAGGAGACATCACAGTAGGACTTTAGTGGATGGTTTGAAGCTGATCGACAACTAATTTTGAATCAAAATCTGACTCTCCAGCCCTACCCACTACTGCCATGTACACACCTAGGGGGAGGGGGAAGGGAGGATTAAGAAAGCAGAGTAGGGAGAGAATTGGTCCTGTGTCTTCATCTGTGTAGGAAGCTCCCTGCAGCCTGGCATCTTGTCTCATTTACAGTCTCAAAGAATTGTTCAGGGCAATTGACAAGCTAAGTGGACCTGCCCATAGTTGAACAGTCAGTATGTCAGTGCGTTACGTACAATTTTTTTTAAATTAACCATTATTTTGGGGATCTTCTGAGCCCTGTTCAGCTTCAGTAATGGGGTAAAATTAAATCTGCCATGAATAAGAAACCTGGGAGTTTGAGGGAATCCTGGGGGGAAAGGAAGGGGCAGCCCCTCAATTCTTTTTTCTATCTACCCCAGTCGTTCCAGCCTTAATTTGAAAGCAGATGATGGACTGAGACCCAACTGCAAAGGATCCCAGATCACTACAGCCATCATCAGCATCCCCACCCCGCCAGCGCTGACCCCGGAGGGGGAGAGCCGACCGCCACCATCTAGCCCTGGCTCCACCACGAACATTCCCCCCATAGGCAGCAACATCGTCAAGGTCTCCGCCTTGTAAAGCCACTGAGGGAAGGGCTGGTGGAAGGGGTGACAGGAGGGACGGGGAGGTGAAGGGAGCCTGTCAAACCAGGCTGTTCCCTTCTCCTTCCCCTGCCGCTCCTGCCTGTCCTGGTTGTACCCCTCACACTGAAACTGTGCCTGCAAGCAGGAAGGAGACACTTCTGCAGCCGTTGCTGCCAGAGGGAACAGAGCCCTGGGCGCCATTACCCCACTCTGGAGCCGTGCAGAGGCAGGGCAGGGAGGCAGGGGACGGGGACCTGGGGAGGGACCATGTGCCAGGCCAAGGCCTGGTGGGGTGTGGTGGGGGGGAGCCTCAGATCAAACTAATGATTGTTTCTGGAGACCCCAGCGAGGAAAACACAAGAACGAGAGAGCAGCACAGAGGCCAAGAAATCACATGCAAAACAGGAAGGAATATTAACACTGTGTATTTAAGCACCTTTTTCAAGGCTTTTAATGGATAATATTTATTCATGGGACATGACTGAAAAAAAAAAGGTGGAAAACAAAGCAGAAAAACAACAGATTTTTGGGAAATGTTTTTCTCCATGGACCCAATACCTTTAACTAAACCAAAACAATGCATTTTATGAGTCTTTTTTTTCCCTCCTTTTATAATGAAGGTTTTAGGCCAAGATGTCAGTTGTTACTGAGTTTTCTCTCCTTTCCCCACCAGGTGGGCAAATCTGGCCCACCGAGCCTACTGAAACCTGAGTGATCCACACAGTAGCCATGTGACCACATTGCAGCTCTTGCTCTCTCCAAGTCTGTCTGTCTCCTCGTCTCTTTGTACCTGGTCACTGCCTCTCCCTTTCTTTGTCTCTGTTCAGCTGTCTCTCTCTATGGCTCTCAGTACAACTTGGGTTTATGAATGGCCGCCTTGGCCACTGCAGTACAACTGTACGTGGTAAAAATCCCCCTGCTAGTTAATGGGAAATTGTGCTTTAAAAAGCAAACAAAAAAACCAAAACAAAACAATGAGGGGGAAAGCCAAGAAGAGACAAGATGGCACTTCCCAGTCATCTGCCCCACTGGTATATCCGAAGCTTTGGCTGCAACCAAATTCCTTACTTAGCCTAGGATCTTGAAAAAGGAAAAGATCATAGGGAATCTTGCATCCTGATGAAAACCAAGTAACAAAAGACGGAGGAGACATTCCATGGAGTATGCAGACAACCTTCTCTCCTATTCTGCTGTTGGTACTGATCATGAAGTCTGTCCAGCCCACAGCCAGGAGCCTCTGGGCAGCTTCCCCTAGACCATACCTGACCTGGTCAAGGGTCTAGGATACAGCCAATTGGTTTTCACATCAGAGAACCTGACTTAATAGCTGAGCGAGGTTGGTCATGCCTTCTCAGGAAGGACGTTTTAAGGTGTGGGAATCTGGATGGTTCTTCAAGGTCTGTCCAGTACTAAGGAGAGGAACAGGTAAATGGCTGATGTCCCTCTGAGCAAGTGTGTAAAGATGGCTTTTCCTTGGAAATTTGGGCACCACTTTTATGAAGCAGGACTAGGGGGAGTATCCCCTTGTCCATTTCTATCACTTTCTGCAGAAAAGAGTGGATTAGCCAATCTACTCACTTAGACCTTTCCCTGAGTTTTGGGCTTGATAAGTTCATCCTTCCTATCTCCTGGACTCCCTACCTCATGACCACTCATTCAGCCTGTGTTCTGAAGGATTAAGATGGTCATGTTATCTCCTCAACCCCTTGGAGCTCCTCAGCAGTTCCTCAAACTCTGCTGTGCAGCTAAGCGGTTACCATTCACAGTCCTCCTTCCTCAGCCCTCTGTAGATAAGATTTCTCTGGTCCAAAACCTAAATTCACCCTCATTAGGTTTCCCCATGACCCTGGCCCTATGGGCCCTTTAAAAGGGGTTTCTGAGTTAGTACCTAATCACAGGAAATGGTAGGGCAAAGGAGAGGGAGCCTTTCCAACCTCATCTCCTCATCACGCACTAACTGCGCACTCAAACTGGTCCTGGCCTCAGGAACCTTCCCCAACATGGGAGGGAAATGGTTCCTGCCTTCTATGACCTTAATATCTTGGTGGGAAACAAAGCAAACATTACTGTGCAGCTGTGGACCACACGTGTATGTATGTATATATAATATACACACATCACAGTAGCCACACAAACCTGAACACACTGAATTATCAGTGCTTAACATTGATTTACTACATAAAGGCTTCAGTGGAACAAAGTAAAGGACTGGGTTGGAATACAGACTAAGACAATCTTATAGAGGGCAAACAGGGACTTGCCATGGTTTTTAGGAGCAGGAAGGAAACACTTCCAAAAGTCTAGTATCTGAGTTACATTGCTTTGAGAGGAAAAGGTTTAGGTAAAAGAAACTGATCCTTCATCCAACCAATACAAAGTATGACCCTTCCCTGTCTCAGTAGATTTCGAGTTGTTGTAGCCAGCCCTCTAGCAATGGTCTTCTCTGCAACAGGCAATCTGATACCAGGCCCATACTTGAAGCGTTCAAGCTGTTCTGGAAGAGCCTTTGAGATCACAGGCTTATCTCCATTTCATGAGGAGGCATCAGAATAGTATTTTCACGAAGGCTAACCAACATTTAAAAGTCTTATGGGGTCCCAACAATGCATCCGACCCAGGCACCTTGTCTCATTGTAGAACCAAAGGCTGTTTTGTATGAAAACATCTATAGCACGGACTCAAAGGGGGTCTGGAGGTCACCTAGAGTTCTACCTCCCAACAAATGGCCCCAAGTGTCTCGAGATGCCCCCTAAGCCCTATCGTGACTCCAGATTCTGAGCTCCTTGTGCTGCATCATGCCTGGGTTTGCCACGTACAACCCATGTCAACACATCAAGTCCCTTCGCCTCTTCAGGCCTTGCTTTCCTCAGCTGTAGAATGAAGAGACTGGGCAAGATGACCTGAGGTACCTTCCAGCTCCAAATCTGTGGTCCTCTCATGGCATCCACTGAATTCGCTGTCGCCACCACCACACCTGCCCTAAAAAACCTCTCAGTCCCTCCCTCATCCCCAACACTTTAGTTCGACCACCCTCAGCCAGAGATGAGGCCTTAGCTTCTCTGACCCTGGGTCTAAAATGAGGTGGCAGTCAAGCTAGATAGATAGGAGAAAAACCCAAACATGACAACTGGGCCCTTTCCCTCTGTGTAAGTGGGTTTAACAAGGTCCAGCTGCTACACTAAACGATGCCGATATCTTTACAACTTGCCCCCCAAAAAAAGACCCAAAATTATGATCGGGTCTTTCTCTTCCATTGGTTCCCTGGGAAACTGGTTCTCAAGCTTTTTCCATTCTTGAACCACTTCTGGAAAGATCCCATACGTACATACGCCACATACCCCACCCTCAACCTGTCAAAACAAAGTCAAACAGAGGACGTGATACTGAATTAAGTTTTGACACTGTCTGTGTATTATCTTGGAGAGCTAGTCCAAACCTTCTAATAACTAACCTCCAGAGAGGTTAAGGGACTTGCCCTAGGAGGCATCTCCTGGCTCTGAGTTACCATCAGAGCAGTGCACTGAGCCACCAATAGGGTGTTATTGTAACAATCCATTTGTGACAAATGCAATTGTCACAACACTCAGCAGCATGAGAATAAGCGACCTGGCAACTGGGGCTGGGAGAAGAGGAAGAGGGAAGCTCAGAGATCACACTCTGCAAACCCACTGTCTCCATGTGGAATCAGTTTGGGGTGACAATTCCGCATGTGTGTAAACAGCTTTTTCAGAGCCAAAAGATGCAGTTCCCCTTCTAATCTTTGGGGAGGGTTGGAAAACACTGACATATCAAATCATAATCCTTTAACCTGTTTAGCACTGGCACCTTTTCCAAAACGGGGACATCATATCACACGCTTCTCATAACCCTATTAGGTGGCTAGGGCAGACCTTTTGTTCTCCATTTTGCAGTTGGACAAACTGAGGTTGACATACAGGATTAGGATGCAGCCTTATCCAGCATTTTCCCCAAGATTATCATACAGAACCTACATCTCTAGCATTGCCTTTGCATGGGAAAGTCTTACTCAGAGCCATCTATGAGACATCATAAATTTCTCAAAGGAAGAACTATATCCATTTCTACTTCTCCATGGCATGTCTTTGCGAATAAGCCTTTTGAGCCTGAGACAGTTACGGGACAGCCTGCTCACACCACCAGACTCGCTCAACAGCAGAAGACTAAGGACTTCCTTCAGAATACTGGCGGCCATTTTTGGCTCACTAAGATTACACAAGGAGGATGAGCCTTATACAGTCGCTGCCAAAGGAGCTGATCTCTCAAGCTTACCCGAGGGCCTGACACCAGCACAAAGGAGGGTGAAATTGGGCAATACATCAATCAACAAGCATGTACCAAGCATTTACCACATGCCAGGCACTGTGTTAAACACTGGGGATACAAAGAAAAGAGCTCACATTCTATACACATAAAAATAGTGGCCATGTAATTTTGATCAATGATTAGCAAAGGTGGAGAACTCATGACTATCCTGAGACTGTTCATCAAATATGTGGGTCGACCAGACCCCTGAAGATTTCTCCTGCTCCCTAATTTGGGATCTTTCCACACTCTAAGGCGATAACTTCATAGAGTACAGAAAAGAGAAGCTGACTTTCAAGCTTAGGAAAAGGTTGAAAGCATGGGTCAAAATCAGGTTTTAAGATTCTCTGTAGATTCCAGTGATCCCAGCTCCCATCCCCTATAACCAGATAACTGTGAGGTTGGTTATGCTTATGGACTTTTTAAGAGTTTACCTAGCATAGCCAAATATCTGCTCCCCATCCAACTAAATGGCACTGTGAATACGGCCAAGCAGGGAACTGACAGGCATTTTTTTTTCCTTTTGGGCTTGTTTGTGGAGAACCTCATCATTTGCAAAGTGCTCCATGATGACTGAAGAGGGAAAAGCACTGTCATGGCCCTTAAGAGGAGGCTCATTAGAAGAAGGGACCGTCCAAAAACAAAGTGGTTTAAAGAGGTTCTAACTTAGTCTTGTTTGTTTCGTCATGTGTCTTTCTCACCAAGCTTGGGACTGGCCTTTGTCTCAGCAAGTCACTTACCTACCTGGGCAGGGGATCACTCCACGTGGTACAGGGTGATGATCTCAGTCCCAGGGGGTTCCTTGGACCAAGGGACTATTTTACAAAGTGGGGGCTGGGGGTAGAGGGAGGGTTGGTATATTTTTGATAATCAGACATTCCAATGCAATGTTCTCCTTAAGAGGTTTCCCCACCCCCTTTGTTAACGTTTATTGTGAGAAACATCACGTACGTTCTTCTCTATTTTCGTATAATAAATGGGCTTTGCTTACCAACATCACAATGGCAGAGACAGAAACGCACTGTACAAAACTGCAGGAAGATTCAGACTTCATCTGAAAACAACTTTCTAAAACAAAAGTTCTTGAGTTTCCTGTTGTCTTCTCTTTGAAACTGTAGTGCATATGTTAAAGTGTGTCTATCATTGACAGTACCGAGTCGTGTGCCACTGCTGTACCTGATGTATCCAATCTGGATTAAATGGCATATGTGCCACAAACCCCAAAGTGATGCTGCGTGCTTACTGTTTTCCGGCTTCCACTTCTAAACCTACTCTGGCCCATGAGACAGCAGTTGTGATTAAGGTCTTTTCTGTTCCCTGTTAGAAGCCTTGTAGTTGGAAGAAACCTTAAAGATCATCTAGTCCAATGTCTATGGCAGCACCTGCAGTCGGAGGGCCTGGGTCCAGATCTCAGCCCTGCTTCTTCCTACCTAGGGCAGCATGAGTACACATCCTCCCTCGACCCTCTGGTTCTATCACCTGCAAGATAACAACGATCTTCTACAAGACATCCAAGAACCCTTCCAGCTCCTTTACAATCTACTTACTACCTACTTAACCTTGCACAGTAACAGCTAACATGTATACAGCACCTCCTCTATGCCCAGCACCTTACTAAGCCCCTAATAATTATTTCCTCACTTGAACCTCACAAACACCCTAGGGAGTGAAAGATGAGGAACTTGGTCTAGATCACCTCTAAGAGCCCTTCTAGCTCTGACCCTTCATAGTCCTAAGCAAGGCTAGAATGCCTCCTACAGAATCCCTGAGATGACCACCCAATTGTTTGCATGACCACTTCCAGTCACAGCACCTTCTAGCACAGCTGCTATCAAGTTCTTCCTTACACTGAGCTAAAAGCTGCTTCTCTGAAACGTCTCATTGGCCCTAATTCTGTCCCCTAGCTACAAATCTGAGCCCTGCTATAAAGGAATAAACAAATCCTCTACACCAAGGTCCCTTCGACTGAAAGAGAAAAAGCTCAAAATGAAATATTTTCTAAGGAAATGATTATAGAACAGGCAGCAGCTACAATATCACAAAGTTCAAAGAAAATCCTCTTAAAACTGTCACCACGGTACAGCAGCCAGATCTTGGTCACTGGAAATAGCATGAGAAATAAGACACTTTAGGACAAATATCCAAGAGGTCAAAAAGCCCAGTGGCTGGACTATGACATTTATGTCCACGACCAAAGGTGGGCTGCTCTGACTCTCAGCACCCACTAGGTGTCGCCCTATCCCCATAGCTCTCCAGACCTGACAGCACCTACATTTTTCATTATGGTATGCTTGGATATTAAGTCACAGGCCAACAAAGGTGCCACACTTTGGAGATTCTATCAGTATTTCTTAAGAAAATCAAACTGTTCCCCTGTCTACAAAGGTGAAGTCTGAAATAGAGTACAATCTTAACCGTAAACTATACTAGCAGAAACTCACCTTTTCACAATGTATTTTTTAACAAGAGGGCTCCTGGAGCAAACTGATGGTATAAAAAACCTGAAAAATACGTAACCCATTTGAGAAAACGTATACTTTTAAAATAACACCCAACTCGCCTGTTCAATGAAACAATCACAGAAAAGAACAAAAACTTTTAGTTAGCTGTTACTGTCAACCAAATTTGAATTATTTTCTCGACATATGATGTAGTAATAAAAACACTTTCATAAAGCATTCACTACAGACGTTTCGCCAATTCAACCAGTTTGAATTTAGTAAGGTGTCACACTATTTGCAGATGTGATTCATTCCCAGCCCTTCCCCTCCCAACCCACCACGCCCAATAACCGTTCACATTAGTTATAGAACCCACATGCCCTAAGAGATCATCCTGTCCACTGGCTTCACTTTCCAGTGAAGCAAACTACTCTTCTTAAAAAGACTAGCCCATGATCACTCACAGTGGAGGCAGAACTAGAACCCAGGTCCACATGCTTAGCCAGCACTCTTCCCCAGCCAGGCCACAGCAGTTTTTCTGCTCAGTATCTGTCTCTTCTTGCGGTGTCCTAAAAATGTCTAACAAGTAGCAGAGTTTGTCAGGATGTCAATCCTGAGCTAAACACTTTATGAAGAGAATGCCCTGCAAGTGAACCCAACTGGTTGTCTCTGCTGATGAGGCACAATTTCATAACTTTTCTCACAAATGTTCATGAAAAAAACAAAGATATAGTTTGTGTTTAGCTTCTCTCCTCAGACTAGTCTCCGGCAATAAAGATGTGCTCATCTCTGGCTTATTTTCCAATTTAAAAAATAACAAACACAAAGTAACAGACAAACCTAAAGAGAATCCAATTAATTTCAGGACTAATGGGCAATTTCATTTCTAATTAAGATGCAGTGGCATCCTAATTAAAATTCCCTGGCAATGACAGGCAGCTTGCCTGTTCTGGGGGGGGAGGGGAAGGGGGTGGCAAATGGGACACGGCAAGGCAAAGGTAAGGTGCAAGGACAGGATCTTACTTTGGTGTGTAATTAAAATCTTTACCACTGTATGGCAGACTGGACCTAATTATGGAATTGCTATTTACATAGTTTTAATTAATTCATCCTCACTTGGCAATACCATAGAGAGAGAAAAGTGAAGCTTCCCAGTGCTCAGCCTCAGAACAGGAAGCAGACAGTGCCGCAACAAGTTCAGGACCACGGTTGTGTGGGTGTTTTGACAATAAATGACGATCACTGTGGGTATGTGCTGACAGCAAAGGGGAACAGTATGTATGTTGCCTAGCCCTCCCAACAGCAACAGCCTTCAAAAATGCTCCCCTAAAGCCTGTCCTCTTCCTTCCAAAGATTCAAGGCCTTCTCTGGAGAGGTCAGTCACACCAGGGAAGAAACACAAAAGAAATCTAACTTCTAGTGACTTTCTGAACAGCCACAATTTTAGAATGAAGTGTTTCATAACAAGAACAACTTTCCTCCCAGTCTAACACAACATGCACTATGAGAAAAAAGGCCCACTGAGGAGAGCACTGAGGACATTGTGTGGAGGCAGTAGGGGCAGAAGAAAGGCTAGCCTCCACCCCAAAAAGCTACTAGTTCATTCTGACTGCCTTCTGACAGCAAGAATGGGAAGATGACAAGGTGAGGAATCAGCCATCCTGACCCAGTGTGCTGCAAAACTGAGCAGCTTCACTGGCAACAGACATCTGAAAAGGAAATGGTGAAAACACAGGTGGGTTCACAACTTTAGAAACTCATTTTATAGAAATAAAGAGTAACCTTTCTGTTTGGGCTTTCACAAACGTAAAGAAACATCTTTACTAAAAATCCCTATTTACCTCAATTTAAAATGGAAGGAGTTCATGGTCAAAAAAATGCTAAAAATATTATATTTTCACATCACAGCTACAAAAATCCAGCATGATTAGAAACAATTTTTTTTTACACGAAGTCCTTCATAATATTTACATCTCAGTTGGATGTTTCCTTGGGAGCAGGTGGTGGTATTTTAGGAGTGTTTTAAATAAGGAGTGGTATGGTATTATGTTTAGTTTATTTTTAAGGGGGACAGTGAAAGAACAGCAAGAAAATTATGCACTAAGACTCTGTACCCAAAGTTCTCTTTTTCACAGCCCAAATCTGTGAATTTTCCCAAGAGAGAAAGGGGAAATAGCACCTCACCTGATACAAACCAACCTGAAGAATAAAAGCATTTCATAGAACCTCAAGCTTTTTAAAGTTCCTCAAAAATGCCATCACAGTCCACCTTACAGGACAGTCGTCCCCCCCCCAGGCACCAAGGAGCTGCTATTACTTGAGGTTTCACAGGTCACTGCCCCGCATTAACTCCTGAAGATAGATGGTGTTCATGTGATAGGCTGCCATCCAATCGGAGTGTCTCTTGGCATTCCAGCTATAGGACTGAGAGGCTGCTGCATAGTACTCCTGCCATGCCCAGTAGCAGGATCTCCAGTAATCCTCATAACTCTGAGGATTGGGGGGGTAAACTGGAGGCTGCCCCCCAGCGTGATCGCACCAACTCTCGTGAGGCTCCCACTGTAGCTGGTGGGGCGCCCGCTTAGGAACACTTTTCCTGCTGCGCTTAGAAGTCTGGTTAGCTCCCTCCTCCCTCCCCTGGGCTTTCCTCGGGATGGGAGGGACGTCTTGGCTTTCCTCCACACTCGAGTTTTCACTTCTATTCAAGGGCTGATCGGGAGAAACACAGCCCGCCACGGAGGCCAGTTCACTTTCTCTCACTTGGTTGTCAGAAGAGCCTTCTAAACACGATTTGTTCCCTTTGCTCTGGGACGATGCTCTTGAGCAGCCGGAATCACTGTCACTGGCTGAATCTTCCGAGTGACCACTGCTCACCAATGCCCGGGGGCTCTCTTGAGTTTGTCTCCATTTCAATAAACCGTTTTGGGGCTGCAGGGCCTGGTCCCCAGGACCAGTATAGTGCCTGATGATTTCTACGTGCTTCTCTAGTCCCTCCTTAATGTAATGTTCATACTCCTCTACCAATTCCGAGAAAGTCGCTACACAAGGCTGCTGTGTCTTAAAGGAAGACAGACAAGGGATTTTGGGGAGTGTGGCAAGTGAAGCTTCTCTGGCCTGGTTCTGGAAGATGCTGGGACTTTCAACAGGGGTCTGAACATAGTTCTCTCCGGGTTCTTTCAACTGTGTGGCACAGCCCGCCCCCCCTAGAGAGCTCCACTTTTTCTTTGGCTCCACACTCTGAATGGCTTTTCCCTGGGTATTTCTGCTTGGCAGCTTTCTTTGATTTGGCCACCCCTGCAGGACCTGAAGCTGTCTGCGATAGAGCCACATGGCTACTCTGAGCTTTCTGTGCCTGAATGATCCGATCTGGTTTCTGAATTGTTTTAGGGGGTTGGATGTGCACATTAACTGAGCCAACTGTAGGCACGGCCGCTTTGACCTCAATATCCCAATCCAAACATTCTTCCATCAGGCCAGGAGGGATTGGATCTACATGATAAAAAAAAAAAGGAGAGAGTTAATATTCTCCTAATACTCTTATCAACTTGCACAGCACTGCAGCACAGGCCTCAGAGGTCCTAAGAACACTTTTCTTACGAGCTGTTCCTGGAATATGGGAGACAAGCTCCATCCTTCCCAGCAGCACTTCCATCTGGTAGAAGGATCAAAAGTTTCTGAGGGTGTGGAGAATTCTTTCCCAGAATTTTCCTCTTCCTCTTCCCTTTATCAAACTTAAGCAAGCAGAAGAGGAAAGGACTTATGCTCCCCACAACTCCTCACCTACTGGGCATTCAATTAAACCCAATAAACATTTATTAAGCACCTACAGCATACAAAACATTATTCTTGGGATATAGAGACTGATATTCCTGTTTCCAAGTTTAAAATCTAATCAGACAGAAGAGGGCAGAATGGGCAAGTGTGGAGAATATTAAATTGTGCATGCCTTTGACCTAGCAATACCAATACCAGGTATACACCCCAAAGAGATCCAAGACAGAGAAAAAAGAGCCATATGTACAAAAATATAAGCAGCAAATACACTACAAAAAGTAGTGTCAAAAAACTGGAAGCTGTGAGGGTACCCATCAACCAGGGAACGGCTGAACAAATTCTGATACACACACACACACACATACACACACACGAGAAGTGCTGAAAGAAATAATAAAGGGCATGGCTTCAGAGAAACCTGGGAAGACCTGAAATGATGCAGAGTGAGGTGAGCAGAACCAGATGAACAAGTTATACAGTAACAGCAATGCTGCAAAGACAAATGGGTCTAGGGATGAGAAAACAAAATGTATTTAAAATGAAATTTAATTCAGAAGAGGAAGAGACCAATGCATAGGAGAGAAGTACTATGAGTAAAATGAGCTGGGTCTTGAAGAAGGGAGAATGTCAACAGATGGATAGAGGGAAGGGGAATACAGAAGGAGAGAACACCATTCCAGATCCAGAAAGATGGTGTGAGCAAAGGCGAGGAGACAGAAGAGGGAAAGGGTAGGGAACTGAAAGTAGTCCAATTGGGCTAGAACACTGACTACGTGAAGAAGAAAAGAATGGAAAGGTGGGCTGGAGCCAGATTATTCTGGGCCATGAACACCACGATCAGAAGTTGATACTTTCACCAAGAGGCAATGAGAAGACCCTGTAACAATCACTCTGAATCTCAACAGGATGACAGACAAGAGAGGCATCACTTAAGTTCCGATTAAACACTGAAAGTGACAGAAAAAGTAAACAGCTGGCTGACCACTTTGCAAAAGGTGTGAACAGGGAGTTGCAGCACCACTGTCTAGGTAGTTCAGGACTCTCTCCCCCTACCAACAAATATGTCAACAGTCAGGTCTGTCTTTCCACATTAGAAATAATGATGCCCAAAGGGGTTGGAGCCAAGAAGGTGGAGTAAAAGAAATAATGAAGCCCCTACATTAAGCCCCTGGCTCAGCTTCATTCTTCCTGCTGATGCCCCTGCCTACTATGTAACTCAGCAATCTCCCTTGTATTTTGACCCCTTGGTGTCTAAACACTATGGCCTAAGTTTCTGACAGTCACGGTCCCCCTACCCTGTATCTCTTCGGTTGCCCAGATCCTCTACCTAGCCCATCTCTGATCCTTTTGTCCCTAGTCTTCTAACCTGAGTTGTTCTTGATCTCTCTCAGCTCACTTCCTTAAGACTTTGGCCTTCTTCCTCCAACCTGCTCTTCCCTGCCTTAGGTGACTTCCCTGGACTTGACCACTGTCTCTCCTACCTTAAAAGTCCTTGTCAACTCCCAATCTCATCTAGCCAGATTCCCAGGCCTCTCCCAGCTATTCTGTTGTCACCCAAGTCCCAGAGTAATACACACCCACAAAGACTTCTCCACACCCTCAAAGATATACTATATTTATTACATGGTGAAAGATTCTAACTTGGTACCTTCATGCTCTTTATCATGCTATTCCCTTCAGGCACCCCCTTCCCCTAAAAAAGGACATTTATTCTAACACGTTTCCACCAAAGGGAGTTTTGCTGGCCAATTCTCTATAGACCTTAAAGTAACAAATAAATATGAATACTTAACATTATCATTTTTTTTCCTTTGGTGAGGCAACTGGAGTTAAGAGTTACACAGCTAGTAAGTGTTATGTGTCTGAGCCCAGATTTGAACTCAGGTCATCCTGACTCCAGGGTCAGTACTCTATTCACTGCGCTACCTAGCTGCCTTAATATTATCATTTTTAAAGAACTTTGCATAAACACTAATCAAACTGGACTATTATACATAGAATGGACTTCCCAAGGGAGAGCATGTTACTATTTTACCTCTGGAACTAAAATTTAAGACTTGACCAATTTCAAGCTTAATATTCCTTAAAACTATATACTGTTAGTGCAAGAAGGTGACACAGTGGATAGAGCACTGGCCCTAAAGTCAGGAAGACCTGAGTTCAAATTCAGGTCTCAGACCAGACGCTTGACACTTGCTAGTCGTGTGATTCTGGGCAAGTCACTTAACCCCAACTGCCTTGCCAAAAAACAAACCAAAAAAAACACCCCTATATACTGTTAACTGATATCAAGTGGGGGAGGGGGGTGTCAGGAGGAAGGGAGAGAATTTGGAACTCAAAATTTTTAAAAAATGATTGTTAAAAAAATTTTACATGTACTTGGGGATATTCAATGAAATAAATAAAAAATACATTTTTAAAACTATATGGTGTTGGGGCAGCTAGACGGCACAGTGGACAGAGCACCAGCCCAGGAGTCAAGAGGACCTGAGTTCAAATCCAGCCTCGGACACATAACATTCACTAGCTGTATGATTCTGGGCCAGTCACTGTTAACCCCAAATGTCTCACCAAAAAAAAAAAAAACAAAAACTATATATTGTTAAATTTAAGGACAAGATTTTCCCAAAGAAATTAATTTCTCCAGATATATTAATTATGATTATTCAATAAATATATTATGCCCTATATTCTAAATATTAACATTTCATTAGCTTAGTGGGTTAAAAAAAGCTTTACAATTATTTTTCATTCATCTACCTGTCAAATTCAACATATTAAGAAATAATATAATCTTTCATGAGCAAGAACCTCTTTTCTCCAACCTCCCAAACACTTTGTCTCTTGTGACATTTTCACATTCTACATTAGCTGTGTGACTATTTTATCTTCCCTATTACATCTTAAGCTCCATGAGGACAAGGGCTATATTTGTATCTATCTTGCCCACAGCTCCTAATACAATGCCTTACAAAACAAACAAAAAGAAGCATTTACCCCATTTTCTGAATTGAATGGTCAAATATAACAATATTCCCATGTGACTAGGTTTTTTAAAAAAATATTCACTAAGTGTCAAACACAATGTTTAAAAACAAAAGGACAGAGCATAACTGACATTAAAACAATAATTCCATCAAGTGCTGTGTATAGAACAAGATGCTGCCTAAACTTGAGATGTTACAAAGAACGGTCTAACAGCCTCTACTTATACAAACAAACAATTATGCAAAAACCAATCCACCTGAATAAAAGCAGAGCTAATATGGTAATCAAATACATCTTGTGCTAGGAGGATCTTCAACAAATTTCTGCTAACAAACTGTACCTGGCAAAGAGAGGAGGTTAAGATTACATTTCTGGGCAATTGTCATCATCATATTTTCTTCCTCTCCCCGGCAACAATAGGTCACAGCTAGCCCCAAAGTACCTAAAACAGAGAGATGTAAAATTATACTTGCTGCTGGACATAAATGATACCTGCAATTCCAACCTTTTCATAAGGGCCCTTTCCTCAAAAAAAGTAAACCATATTTTTTTGTTTTGTTTTGTCTTTTACCAAAACGTCCAGCTCTGCCAATCCGA